GAGCTGGGGAAAACCTTAGAGATTATTCAGCCATGAAAGCATTAAAATATTTAATCTGGAAAGGACCTCTGAAGGGTCCCAGATCCCCGATTTGTGTGAGGCCCCTTTGCTGTGGCACCCTCACCGTCCTGAAGGGGTCATTCAGCCTCTTTGTGGTCTTCTGATTACTGGGCCTCCAGCTGCCTCAAGAATAATCCATTTCACAAAGACCGTATGATTTGACTTATACGAGGTACCTAAAGGAGTCAGACTTGGAGACAAAAAGTAGAAAGGTGATTGCCTGGGAAATGGGGGTTAGTGCTTAATGGGGACAGAGTGTCAGTCTGGGAAGATGAGAAAGTTCTGGAGATGGATGGTGGTAATGGTTGTACAATAAGGTCAATGTGCTTAATGCCACTGAAGTGTATGTTTAACAATGGTTAAAGTGGTAAATTTTATGTTATGTGTATTTGGGTGCAATTTAAAAAATGAAATAAATAAATACATTAATAAAGGAAACAGGGGAAAAAACAAGCCCTTCTGCTGGCTAGCTCTGTTGAAAAAATTTAACTCTCTACTATAACCCATTGGTCCAAATTTTGTGGTCTGGAGCCATGGGGAACAAATCTGACCCTTCCTCCTGGATGAACACACCTAGCTTTTCCCCTCCCAGCAGGTTCTTCAAGGCTAAGTAGCCCCAGTTCCCTCAGTAGATCATGCAGTTTTGTTTAGTTTTACAATTTATTTGTAAATTGTCATGGTCCAGATAAGGACCATACATTGTGAGTGATGATAAGCCTTGCTTACCCACTCTGTCTCCCTTTAGATTTCTTCGTTGATGAAACTGAGTCATTTGTCCTGGAGAGTTTTGGTACTTGTAACCCCCTGCTATATGCTAGAATGACACCTTCCTCTGCCTTCTGTATTGTCTGTGAATTGATAATTGGGTTGATATATTTTATTTTATAAATGCTTGTAATCCAACTATATAATTTATTCTAGATCTTTTTTTTTTTTTTTGAGAATGAGGGGGTATTCTTTCCCCCTCAACTTTTTGTTTGGAAAATCGCAAGCATGCAGAAAAATGGAAAGAATACTATAATGAAGATACCCAAGTACGCTTTACAAAGATTCACCAACCATTAACATTTTGCCATATTTGCTTTCTCTCTCCCTCTCTGTGTGTGCGCACGCACACACGCACACGCACACGCACACACACGAGTACACAGAAGTCCCCCCTCATATCATTTGAACTTAAGTTATATACATGGCACTTTAAAATAGTTTAGCACACAACTCCTCTAAGAATGCAATAGTACGTTCTCCTATATAATCACAATTATGTTGAGGCAAAAAGTTGTTATATCTAGTTTAACATATATGTTACATATATAGTATATCTATATTGTCTACTGTTTAGTGCTTATTTCCATAATTATCCAAAATATGTTCTTTATAGCTGTGGTATTTTTAAAATTCAGAATCCAAACAAGGATCATGAATTGTATCGGGTTTTCTTGCCACTTTAGCCACCTACATTGGTTCTGCCCTTTTTTGCATCTTATATGACATTGACAGTTTTTGAAGAGTCCTCGCCAGTTGTTTTACAGAATGTCCCTAAGTTTGGAATTGCCTGATTGTTTCCTTATGATTAGATTCAGGATCAATGTTTCCAGGGAGAATACTGCATAGGCCCTGCTGACTCCTTCAGTGTAGTGCTTGGGAGGCGCATGGTGTCTGTTTGTCCCATATTGGTGATGAGTTTGATCATTGGGTTAAGGCGATGAATGCTAGATTTTTCCATTGTAAAGCTTCCTTTCTCCATTGTAATTAATAATCTGTCACTTGTTAATGATTACTTTTTAAATAGTTTCAAAAACCTGTGCTGTTGGTAATGGGAGAAAGTAAATGGAAAAGGTTTTGAACATATTTGTAAAGAGTTATTGCTGCTGATAGAAAGATAATTTTTAAATATTTGTTTTCCTGAGAGGAGAGAGGGGAGTTGGCAGCTAGTATAGGCGAGGAATGGCCTTTAGAGAAGATAAACCTGTGTTTAAATCCCAGTTCTGTCGTTGAACCTGTGCAGCTTTAGAAAAGTTACCTAACTTCTCAGATCCTCAATTTCCTGCCTAAAATGAGTGTAATGTACATTCGCTGCAGTATTAAGATGATTAAATGAGATAGTGTGCGAGTGGCCTCTAACACAGCAGCTACCCCATGGCCATTACGTGGGAGATGAGGAGTACATGCTTCCTAAGCAGTCTGCAGAGTTTAAATCTGTTCATGAGCGTTAATTCTCAAGATTAGCTTGAAATAGCCAGGCATGTTGATAAGAAAATGTGATCAACAGGTTAGGCGACACTGTGAATTCAAAGGAAGGAATTATGAATTGGGAGACATTTTCAGGCTTCTTAAATAGGATTTGTCTGTAGTGGACTCACACAGAATCGAGCTGCCTTGTATTCAGACATCTTCTGATTGCAGTCCATTTTGGTCTATTACCAGGGATTATTTTTGAAACAGTTTATATGTAGTCTGATTGAGAATAGCGAATCATAATAATTCTGTGACCCATTTACATGCATTACTGTAAAAGTTTCATTTCATACAAGTGACAATTTTTTAAAGTTAATTAGACTTGGCTATACTGAGGTTAGCAAAAAGTGCTTTGAATGATCAATAATTCAGCAGGGCAGACATTTCTGTATAATGCAGTGGTTTTATAGAGTATTGTGAGATAGTTATCCCTAAAATAAATGGTGGTGAGCATTCATCAGCATGGTGGGGTTCACTTGAATGTAGCGTGAAGTGATAGCATCTATGCTTTCTATTATTGGGCAGAGTGTGGGACATCAGTCTTTCTGGCCATGAACTACTAGCAACCTTTGTCCTTTGTGTTACCTTTAGTTAAAAACGAAAAATGAGCATGAATGCTGGCTGATGGCCATGTCTTTTTACAGCTAAAAATCCATCTGGGAAAGAAAAATGGAATTGCAGGTTTGGATTTGTTTCATTGCATGAATGATATGTGACATTTTGTAAATTATTTATCACTGCAAGGATGGCAGCAATGGCTTGAGCATTGTTATATCAAATGAAAGCAGCAATCCCATTAGTACAGGGACTGGGTTTTAGCTAGAATCTATCAGGGGGATGTTGTCATTTTAAAACCAGATTGTTCTTTTAATTGCTATTTAAAGGAACAAAAGTGTTCCCAAGGTACTGCAGTTGAGCAGTTCCAAGTAATAACTATGGATCTATAATTATGCAGTGCTGATTATCTGGCATTTAAAAAATTGTGGCTGGAGTCAGTGACCAGTTTATTGTAGCCTGTCTTTTTAGGTTTTCCTAGTACAAAGTGTTTTATACTCTTGTTTTTAAACTGGTGCCTCAAAAACATATTTGCATAGCTACCTCAGAAAGTAAAGCCTGTGCATATTAAAAGAACACATTAAACCGAAAATAAGGGCAAGATAATGCACACGTATATTTTAAGATGAAATTAACAGTTATATTCAACAATTTTGCAAATGCTTGGTTATAAGATGGATTCTGGTTTTTGATGACAGTTGTCACAGTGAACCAAGACATTTGTTGGAATCATTATAACCATTTGAACTATTTTCTTTGAGATGAGGGTTATTTGTTGTTAAACCAGCATGTGCTGCTTTTATTTATTCAGTCAGCAGGTATGTTTTGAGTGCCTACTGTGCACCAGGCAGTGTATTAGGTAGGCCTTTGGGATCGAGTAGCTGGACAAATGATGTTTATTCTACTATGCTGATGTATATTTAGAAAGACCTAGCAAAATGTTATTTTAAATTTGCCTTAGAAATTTTGTGATTATACTAAATTTTTTTGCCTTGAATTTTTGATTCCAGAGATTCAAATATTAATACATTATAGTTGCATTGAGATTGCTGTCAGATAACATGTGTAAAAGGCTTGGAATATGCAAAAAAATTTAGTTTTCATACAGTTTTGGTTCAAAATAAATGTGACTAGATCTGTAGGCACAGTCAACTATTCATATGAATGGGAGTCCTAGCATTGCTGGTAGTCATAAATAACAATGGAGACTCAAAATGTATGCAGATTTATACATTGTTCAAAGCAGTTTCCTTAGAGTTAAAGGGTGCTAGAGGGTTAGACAAATGTTTTGATATTTCTTTTAGTAAAGTGGGAATGTCAGAGACTAAGAGCTTATCTCCTTTGTGTGGCATGATGTGGTTTACTTTGTTTAAATTGATTGATTAATTTTAGAGGGAGAGAGAAGGGGGGTGGGGAGAGAGAGAGGTCGACTTGTTGTTCCACTTAGTTGTGCATTCATTGGTTGCTTCTTGTATGTGCCCTGACTGCGGATCGAACCCGAAACCTTGGCGTATTAGACGACACTCTAACCAGCTGAGCTCTACCTGGCCAGGGCTGATGCAGTTTACTTTTGAAGATCTTGGTACCAGAAAGGCCTTGTTATTGATCTTTTGATCTTTTCAAGTGATCCTACAGAATTTTAAAGTTGTTTGATTCTAATTCTGTTTTTATGTCATCTAAAAAATACCAATATTTTGTCAAATGTTTAACAGATGAATGATAGCAGCCTGCTCTAAAACATTTGATAAAGTTCAACTAAACAACTTGACCTAAGTACATGGTATTCATAGTCTGGAATACTGAATACACAGGTGAATTACTTTATTATAGGCATATAGATTATGGGAACTATACGAGATTTCAAAGTAATCCTTAATGTTCATTAATGGAAAGTTATGTAATAAAAGTCTTAGGTTTCATTGGCTTAATAAAAATTACTTCTGAGTCTTATGTATTATTCAGGTAATAAATATTTTAGTATCAAATAATTTAAGAGATTTTTTTATTAGCAGAAAATGTTGATTTGAACACCTTATTCAGCAGTTTTTCTTTGTTAAAGAAATATTTAGGAAGGTTTTGGCTTTAATGTTTTGTTGTTAATTTTAAAATGGAAAACTAACAATATTTTTTCATTTTAATTGTTATAGCCCCGTGCTGATCCCATTCCAATATGTAGCTTCTGTTTGGGAACTAAGGAATCAAATCGTGAAAAGAAACCAGAAGAACTCCTTTCCTGTGCAGATTGTGGCAGCAGTGGTAAGTTGGTATTTTTTTTGTATGTGTGTGCAATGAGTTCCCATTATAGCTACATGCTATTTATCTTTCTTTCAAAACTATATTTGTTATTTAAAGCAATTATTTGGCAACAGCATACATTTTAAAAGTAAGTGCAGGTAGGGGGGGAAAGTGTGAGTATATTAGCACTGACATAAAGCTATTATATATGTTTATATAATTTATATTAATATTTAAAATTAAGCTTTGATTTCATACCAGCATTAGTAATTCACTGTAGAGTATTCTGCTTTGCAGGCAGATTCAATGAGGAGAATTCTGAGTTTTCAAGCTGGATACAAATAGAATCAATCATGTGTTTTCTATAACTTGAAGTCTCAATTAAGAGATATTTGAGTTAGAATATATAGTATTTCAGGTCATGACACCTACTGGTGAAATATAATATTACATCGCAGCTCTGTGTGACTGAATGAAAGGGACAGTATTCTGGAAATTGCAATGATAGAATCAAGAAATCATCAGGCATGAAAGACATTCAAATTGCCTAGAATTAGATAGGAAAAGAGTGGTCTGAGTAGAAGGCGATATTGAAATCAAGGAATGCTGGGCAGGAACACTGGACCTCTGGCAAACTGCCGGACCCCCACATGCTTTCAAGGTAGCTGTCACTTTTGCCTTTTTCTCAGCAGAAGATTTTAAGACCACATCTTTAATTTTATAATATAAATTAAAAGTCATATTACTTCCATTAAAAGAATTTGTCTTACCAAGGCAGTCCGCCTTCTTCTCCAGCAGGCGGTAGTTGTCTGACTGAGATGGTTATATGTTATGTATGTATTACGTATGTATACACACACACACACACATCAACAAATTGAATGGCATTTACTGGATTTTAAAAATTAATCTTTGTGTTAATCTTTAAATTTTCTTCCAGTGTACTGAAACTTTTGCTCCCCAAAGTGCTATTTTAAAATTCATGACCAACTACTATTTCTATAGTTACAGTTACTGGCAAAACACCATAGTGTATTCTCTTTTAGGAAGCTGGTATCATATAGTGGTTAAGAGCAAACTGGAGAGCCAGCAGTAGCCCCGCTTCTCTCCCTTGAGTTAATTCGTTAACCATTCTGAGCCCCAGTTTCCTCATTAGAAAATGAGGTAATATTAGCACCTACCTCTTGGGTTTTGTGGAAGTTAAATGAGAGGACACAAGTAAATAGCCTAGCACAGCGTCTACAACTCTGGTAAGTGTACTATAAATGCCGGCCATTGTTATTATTTGGCATGTTTGATATTGTTGTCCTTAATTGCTGCAAGTAATTTAAAATCTTATCACTGAGTTTGACATCCGCTGGAGCTTGGAGGAGGAAATGTTTCACACGGGGGCATGGCAGTGTAGTGTGATGATGATTCTTCCTCTTACGAAGGTTCGACTTGATGGGCTCTATGTGGTTCCGCAGCTTCAGGGCCTAAGAGGGGAGAGCCTTCGAAATAAGACATTTCAAACTCTGCTTGAGAAATGCATTCTGACAGTTTTTTTGATGGGCTCTACAGATTCATTAAAATTCTTTTACTTGCCCATGTTATCATGGGTAGTGACAAAAGGGCAGGGAAACATTATCTGTATGTTCAGTTTAATAAATTTCAACCCTGCAGTCTCTCTGCTTTATCCTGGTGAGGTAGTGCCTCACTCATCAGTTCTGACTCTGTAGTTATCTTTTGGGTTTTCTCACGAGGCTCACTTTGAATGAATTATTCTTTTGTTTAACTGCCTGATCAATTCAGTGCTGTTCACTTGTCTAGGGTCTACCTTTTGTGATTTTTAAGGTGGTACTTTAAGAATACCCTTCACTGTTTTATTTCATGAGTACATATTTGTCTGGGCGCCTAGACAGATTAAAGACGCACTTAAGTGTGAGAAGAAAAGTTCCCTTCATATATTTCCTTACCTCTGGTGATACACTTACTTGAGTTGATAAGGAATTTGAGATCATTATCTTCTAGATCGTAACTTCAAGGCCTCCTTCACAGGGTATAAAGGTGTAATTCTAAACAGGTAGATCTTAGATTTTCTGATGTAATCAATCTCCCTTCGTCTTTCCCAGATTGAAGACCTGCCAAACGAGAGGTTTGATCTCCTTTATACTTTGAGGTCAGAGAAATGTTTTTCCCCTAAAGCTTCTTACTTTTCCAGGGTGTGTAAGTGTAGTGTTATGTTTTCTTTTTTCAAAAACACTCTCTTGTTTTCTCTTTTAACAAACGGAGAAGAATGGGCTGAGGACCCTGTCTAGAAGGCCTAGATAGCTAGAGTCATTTTGTCTGCCAGCCTTTCCCCCTCCCTTCAGGTAGAGAGCCGAGGTTTTGGAGTGGAGGTATGGGTCCAGGCAGACATTCAAGCCCTGGGGTCATCATGTTCCTTTGTTTAGGACAGAGGATGCCTCAGAGTGCTTCTCTGGACTCTGCAACGGGATCCGACTCTCCTGCTGAGGTTCACTTAACCTCCCCTTGAGGATTGTGCGGGTCTGGGTTTAGCTGTTAGTCAGAAGCCCATTGTTCCTAATTCCGAGAGATGCAGTGTAGACATTTACTTCATCTGGGAGGTCAGCTGAGTGGGCTTTGTTGCTTGCTAGTCTTTAAATAGGATCAAAATAAAATACGGTTTTTCTTAGAGTATTGGGGGGAATCTTGTAGTTGTAATGTTCAGTTGTGACCCCTTGGTTATTATAGGGATAAAAAGAATGAAGTCTGCTGCCATGGCTCAGCAGTGCCCTCTGATAGCGGTAGGAGCCCCGCTGTCACGGTCCAGTTTCTTGAGTGTGAATTACAGGTTGGGTTGTACCCTTGCTGGTCTTCTGGAAGTGGCCACTGTATCACACTCAGAAGGGGCCATTGGTTCTAGGATTGAATTGAGACCGTTTGTAATGTTCAAAGGAATCACTAACGGAAGATGTTTATGTCAAAAAATACCCAGAGCTGTATAAAACCAAGAAAAGGAAATAGAGATGGCGGCCCATAAGGAGGATCATTCTGAAATGTGTTTCCCACATGTGCCTGTTGGTCTTTAGCTGCCTCTATCTGAAGTACCATTTGTATGATGTCACATTTAGACTCTGCTTGGATTTCATAGACATGAGTAATAAATGTTTCCTTCTGCTTACATCATAAAGACAATTAGAAATTTTTCTGTTTTTAAGATGGTGCAGTGCCTCAAATGAAAATATTTTCTTTATGTTTTTTTTCTGTTGAAAGTTCTTTTGAAAAAATGATACAGATTCGCAGGTAGCAAAAACGTGAGGTGAGATGCATAGTGCAAGGAGCCCCAAATGTGGTGTTCCAGTTCTCTTCTGCTTACCAGCTGTGTAACTCCATTTTCCATATCTGTAAAATGCAGAGGGTGACGCCTGTGCCCTGTATCCACAGGGCTGTTGTGAGGATTTAGTAAGATAATGATATGAAGATTATCAGTAACTATAAAACATTCCACAAATGTGAAGGATTATTCTAACCACTGATATGAATGTGGGAATCATCAAATAGTCTTCAGGTCTATGGAAATGTTGGGACTAGAAAGTGATTTTACTTGACTTTCATGGCTCAGCCTACTTTGAAATGAACACTGTTATATTCTCTTTGCCTCATTAAGACCAAATTATCTTTAATTAGCTTCACATAAGTATTAGATATTATACCAAATGAAATTTTGTGTCTGCTGTTCAGATTGCTGGGTGGTTAAATCTTACTTACAGATGAGTTGTGTGCATGTGTGTTTTCAAATTAGCAAATCTAAGATAAGTGTACAGTTCAAAATTACAGCATCATTCTAAGTGGGATCTCATTGAAACTAGAAACCGAGAAAGGCTGCTCTGATGTAGCTGGGAGAGTAAGAAAAATCACCTTTGTACAGTAAAGGGGTCGAATATCAGTCCACTCTCAGGAGACCCGAAATCTTCTCTTGGTTTGTTGCCTCCATGTAGCAGAACCTGAAGGTCACTTTTCAGTCTTTGTTAGAATCTAAAGGACATCTTTCAGCCAACACCAAATACTCCTTTCAGCCAGGTTTGACCTGTTGAGAGTCTTTTCCTTGAAGTGTTTTCTTTCTTTGGCTCCAGTGATACCATATTCTCTGTGTTCTCTCTACCGCTTCCTTCCACATCTTTTGTTAGCTCCTTGGCCTCTCTCCATCCCCTAAATGTTTCTTCAGGCTCCTGACTTTGGCCCTGTGCTTTTTCCTTTGCTTCATAGCCTCTCCTCGGCTCCAAAGCCTTAGATATAAATGCTTCCAGAACTTCTCCATTTGGAGGCCCTACAAGGCTCCTCAAAGTTAGTGTCCAAAACAGCTTATCCACCTTGCACTGCTCCTTCCACCCAAAAACAACACCCACAATAATAACAACAGAAATCTCAGCAAACACACAGCATCTTGCTGCTTCTCAGGGATTTGCCATTTTAGCCAATGGCATGCTTTTGGCTACGTCTTCAGTTCCACAGCCAGAAATTTGGAGCCATGCTTTGGTCTGTTCTCTCACCAAGGAATCACCAAAAATCCATTGATTCTGTGTCGTAATATATATCCTACAAACATCCTCAATATATCCACACACACCCCACCAGGCCAACTCAGACCTGCTATTGTAATAACCTAAACCTAATCTGGATGGTCTTTCCCTTCTTCCATTTTTTATATTGCAGTCTAAGTTACTTTTAAAAATTGTAAATCTAATAACAGAATTTTTCAGTGACTACCAATGACTGTTAGGTAAAAACCCAATATTTTAAGTATAGCCCAAAAATCTGTTCTGAATTGGGCTCTTAGCTGTGTTCCTCATCACTGTCACCTTTATATTATGTACACCAGTTGTATCGAACCTCTTTCCTCTCCTTGAATGTGTCATGTTCTCCTCTCCCACTGCACATGCTAGCTTCTCCCACCCTGCCCCTCCTGTGGTCCCATCTAACCTCACTCATCCTTGGGGTCCTTTCTGTAGGAAGGCCTTCGTCTAACCTGCTCCATTCTTCTGTATCTCTGAGCCCACCCCATTGTCCCATGATAATCCTAATTCTTGTTTAATTCTTGTCTAGTATTCTGTTGCTGCTATAGCAAATTCCCGCAGAGTTGTTGACACGATTCAGTTCCTTGTGTTTGTAGGACTGAGACTCCCCGTTGTTTTGGCTGACGGTCAGGTAGACAGACGTTCACTGCTTCTAAAGGCCACCCAGCTTCCTTGACTTGGGCCCCCACCTCCTTCTGTCTTCAAAGCTGTCCAGGTTTGGTAGAGGCCTTCTTGCGCTTTGAACCTCTCCTCTTCCTTCTTTTATCTCTTTTTATGAACCCAGCTGGAAAAGTCTCTGCTTTTAAGTACTCAGGATTAGATTGCACCTACCCAGATAATCCAGGATAATCTCCCTATCTCAAAGCCTGGACCCCTCGTCTCATCTGCAAAGTCCTTTTTGCTACGTCTGGCAGTGTATTTATAAGTCACAAGGATTATGGCTTAGACATCATGGGGACCATTATTCTGCCTCTACTACAGAGCCCATTTCTCTCTCCCTCAGCACTTCAAAAATCGTCTACTGGTTTGTGGTCTCACTGGCATTTATTTAATTTTAAGCAGTACTCCTTTGGTTTTGTTAAAATGTAGGTAAAATTATTATAAGCTACTAGTGTTTAATATGTTTGTAGTAAGAATGAATGAGTGAATGAATATATATTATGATCTCAAATCTGATAAATTGCAAACCACAAAAGTAAACCATATTCCAGAAAGACAACCCACCATGAATTGTGACAGCAGAGAGAGCCTGAATTTCATTTTATTATTATTTTTTTATTCAAAATATTACAAATGTCCCTTTTTCTCCCCATTGACCCCTTCCACACACACCCCGATCCCTACCACCCGGGTCCCTCACCACACTATTGTCTTTGTACTTGGGTTTGCATATATGCATGTAAATTCTTTGGTTAATCCCCCCCCACCCACCCACCTGCACCTTCCTTCTGAGATTCATCAGTCTGATCCATGCTTCTATGTCACTGAATCTATTTTGTTCATCAGTTTATTATGTTCTTTAGATTCCACATATAAGTGAGATCGTGTGACATGTGTCTTTCTTTGCCTGGCTTATTTCGCTTAGCATAATATTCTCCAAGTCCTTCCATGTTGTCCCAAAGGGTACGAGATCCTTCGTCTTTACAGCTGCATAGTATTCCATAGCGTAAATGTCCCACAGCTTTTTTATCCACTCATCTACTGATGGGCACTATTAAAACCACAATGAGGTATCACTTCACACCTGTCAGAATGGCTGCCATCAACAAATCGACAAATGACGCTTGCTGGTGAGGGTGCGGGGAAAGGGGAACCCTGGTACACTGCTGGTGGGAATGCAGACTGGTGCAGCCACCATGGAAAGCAGTATGGAGGTGCCTCAAAAAATTAAAAATAGAGCTGCCTNTCATTGCATTGTTGTCCTTTATCTAATTACTGAAGATTGAGTATACTAGTATATCAAGACTCTGTTAGTCTTTGGTGTTATTTTAAAGTTGGTCATGAGAAAAGAAAATGGTAATATTTCTTCGCCCCTCAGCATTCTTTTCAAAATCATAGAAATTCAGAGCTGGCAGGATCTATGGCCAGTTCTCTTGAGCTAAATAAAAGTTAGATTGCTGCCTAAAGGAAAGATAGGCTGAAGATCTTAGAATTTGATAGGATAGCTTAAATGATAGTGGCTGAGATATAATATTACTTAAAGTGAGTGAAAGTACTAAAAGGAAGAATATTCTGTACTCTTGATTGAAAGTAGCTGAAATCCATTAATTTTCAAAATATATAATTATTAAAAAGTATTTTTCATTGGATATCTGTTGGAATAGTAAGCTATAAAATGATGTGAATTACTTTAGTTACTGAATATTAAGCTACAAAGTACAAAAGCAGATTTTAATGTAGAGAAAAATTTAGTACATGAAATTGAGGTCATATGTGCTAGTGATGTATGACTTACAGGAAGTAATAAAAAGGGGGGAAAAGAGAAGTAAATGGTATACTTTTAAGCTGATGGGACCCATTTTAAGGGTGGAATTTAAATTGCTGTTCTTTAAAACTTGAGTCCCCCCCCCTTCACTATATAAGGGGGGGAAAACCTTGATCAAAGTAGACCTCTTCCCTCCCCCTTCAGAGTATACTTCTTAAAGTCGACAAGCAAGCTGTCTTTGTTTGCCGTTCCTGAGCAGAAAAGAGGTGATTGATACCATTTTTATATATTTAAACTTTCCCCCACGTTTATTTGAATGAGCGAAGCCCTTGTAAAAGAATGGAGTCATAGGTTAAATGCATCTGCCTGGGTGTCTCTCCTGCCTGAGGTCGTACTCTTATGACAACATTTTATTTGCTCAACATCTTAAATACAGATGTTTAGATTTTTTTTTTAAACTCAGGAATAGTGTGCTTTTATTAACGGTATTGATGATTGATTTTGAATGTTTTTACTTCAAAAAGCCAAATCTCCTGGTGGGTGGAATTTTATGAAGCACCTGTTAAGCTTTAGGGAGGAGGACCTTTTTGGCAGCAACCCAAAATACATATTTAAACAATGAGCCTGCCAAAGTCAGGAAATTATAAAACAGTTTTGAAATTGCAGAATCTGCTTTTTTTATTACCCCTCAGGTTTCTTTTGCAGCTTGGTTATAAGTTCTTTCACATGGGATTTACTAATGTCCTTACTATTTTAAGACCAGTTTTGAAAAATAAAATCAAGCTTGGAGATCTCAGGTTTATATGATAAAAGACCATCAGATTTTAAACTGAATTGCCTTCTCAGGCATATAGGCTCACACTCCCCAACCTTTTGGAGGAATCTATTATTTATTATTGAGTGTAGCCTGGCTGGCTTCCTTGAGTGGCGTTGCCCCTTGGGATCTCTGGTTTTCCTCTGTGAAGTGAGAGCTGCTACGTAAAAAGTGCGCCCAAACAGTGTGGAAAAGCTGAACACTCATAAAAATGGGCAAACCTGCTGAGAGTATGCTTCTTGGCGAATCCCATTTGACCTGGATCTTTCACCATCTTAACTCTCAAATTCACTGTTTCTGTTCTTCTAGAATCTAAATTCAGAGACTGGGGGTCAAGATGGCAACAGTGTCTCCTTTGTATATTCCAGCAATGGGATATTCTTTGTATACTATTGGATTTGGTGGGGAGGGGGGCATTTATAGTCGTATTATGTTAAGCAGCCCCGGTGTTTTATTTAGCTAACTGTTGTTTTAAGTTTTATGGTTTCATTACACACAGAGAGCAGGAATTGTGTGAACTTTGGCACTGCCCTCACAGTCCTGCAAACCAGAAAACATTGGGTACATGATGGTTGATGATGGTGGGGGGGGGAAGGAGGTTTACCTGAAGGCACAGGAGTGAGAACACAGTATAAGCACCTGTCATCTTCAAGTTCTCCAAGACTTATGATTGGAATTGGTGTAAAGTTTTGCAATTTCTCTTAGGGAAAACATTTGTACAGTCACTCTGTTACATACAGGAAAAAAAGGCAGAAAAGCAAAGTGTAATTTGGATTCTTTGATATTTTTGTATTTTCAAGTTCTTGAGGTTTTTTGGCTGGCATTGTCACTATCTATTAAATATTAGGGAATGGGAGTTTAAAAATATCTAAGGCACCATTCCCATAGAGCAATTTGCTTTTTATTCTTATAGGACACCCATCCTGTTTGAAATTTTGTCCTGAACTAACAACAAATGTAAAGGCCTTAAGGTGGCAGTGCATCGAATGCAAGACGTGCAGTGCGTGTAGGATCCAAGGCAAAAATGCAGTAAGTAGGGCTCTCCATGTTCCATCTCCAGGTAAATTGTCAGTTTTCAGTGTTAAGGATTTTATTTTCGTAGACTGTTGCTATATTCTTTTAAACTTGTAAATACACAGATGCCAGCTTTCAACATTGATCATGGAACTCCTTCATTATATTTTATTACTGTTAATTGGGTAACATAAGAATTTGTGGCCTTTTACAGTTGATTTCAGTCTCAATTAGTCTCTAATGTGTTGCATTACAGGATAATATGCTTTTTTGTGACTCCTGTGATAGAGGATTCCATATGGAGTGCTGTGACCCCCCACTTTCCAGAATGCCAAAAGGTGAATTTTTAAACCATATTTAAAATGTGTTTTATTACTTACTCATTAGCCTTGTCCTGCGTCTGACAGCTCAGAGGTGTGTACAAGTTCCTTAAGCATTTTTAATCTCCCATCTTCCTGGTACTTCTGGGTTTGGCACAGAGTATTATGACCAAAGGCATGTAATAGCGTTTAGTTTTAGGGTAATGTTTATAATGAAGCTTCTAATTCAGATGCAGGGATAAAAAAAGACCATTCCTCTCGCGAAACTATTTTATTATTAGAATAAATTTAGATTAGGTATGTCAAAAGTTTCAAATACTCTTTGTATTTTTCAGTACTGTGTTCAGAGGTAAGAAATGATCAGTATCCAAATCCTGCAACAGGAGCCATCACCATTTTCTTGGCCATTAGTTAATATTTTGAACATGAGCATCTGAACTATCTTACATGGTTATGTCCATATGGGATAAGGTTTTTGTCTCTGTTTATTGTGTAAGCAAGGATAGCTCAGTATTCTTTTTCGAATTTTATAATATTTTAAGCATTAAAAATAATTTTGCCTTCTTATTACAAAATTTGTGCATTTTCATTGTGAAAGACTTAGAAAACACAGGTTGTCAAAATGGAATAAAAAGAACAATCAATTAGAAATTCCTCCTCTGCCCTATATACCCTTTTAAAAAGAAACGAAACATTCTATATATGTTTTGTAACTTTATGTTCCCCCCCCTCTTAACAGTAGAGCCTAGCATTCCCACATCATTAAATGTTCTCCTAAACATAGTTTGTAACAAGTGTGTAGAACTCTATAACATATAGAGCAGGGATTACAAACCTGGTTATTGTGGGCCACAGATAGGCTTTGTTGGTTATATATAAATATGTATAAATATTTAAGACTTCTCTAAATGCATTGCAGAAGAGCTGCTACAGTATTTTTTGAATTTTGAATTCGGGGTCTTGAGGTAGAATACGTATGTTCCAGTTTACCCCATTCTCACCATTCCCTTGTGTTACATTCCAGTTTGCTTCAGTCACATGTATTATATGGTTCCTGAACATATTTAATTTTGCAACCCCATGTATAAAAAACCCCGTAACTTATTTAACCAATCCCCTATGGTGGACATTACAAATGTTTCCAATTTTTTCCATCCACAATTATTGCCTTAAGATAAATTCCTAGGGGAGGAATTGCTGGATCAAAGGCTATGTACATGAAAGGTTGTATCAGTTTTCAGACCGACCACCAGTGTATGAAAATACCTGCTTCCCTGTATTATGACCAGCACTCATCATTGCTTTATTACATCAAGACTAAGACACACTTTTTAAAAAACATTTTAACATCTTTGATGCATCAGAATCATCTTTTAGTTAGTTGTATCTTATATTCAATGAAATAGTGGTCTTATTTTAAATTTTTACCAATTTGATAATAGAAAAAAGATGTCTGATAATTTTTTTCTTTAAGTTGTGAGATTGAACATTTTTTGTGTTTGATTATTGGCTGTTTGTATATCATCTTTGTAAAGTGCCTGTTTTATCCATTAATCAGTTTTCTATTGGGGTTTTCACCTTTTTTTCTGATTTGCAGAAGCTCATATTTTTATGCAGTTAAATCCATGAATCTTTTCCTTTATGGTTTCACTCTTAAATGTCAGTAATGCTTAGATTATACAAAGATCCATGTATTTTTCCTGGTACTTGTAATATTTAATTTTGTCATATTATATTTACCTGCCTAGAATTTATTTTTGTAAAGAATAGGAAATAATTCTTTTCCTACTTAGATAGGTAGCTGTTTGTTCCATCGCCAGTTATTGAATCATTTTACCCATTCGACACTGATTTGAAATGCTAAGGTTTTCCTTAGGCTTCAGTGTTCTAGTCTTTCAGTTTTCATCCTTGACCTAGTTCCCTATGTTAGATGTATAGTTTTAATTATTGAAGCTCCATAGTACTTAAAGCTTTTAAGTTTTAATTTAAAAATCATATTTTATACTGATACTTGTTTTTTTTTAATGTGGAAAATTTCCAGAAAGCGACGATTTAAAAAAATAAATATTTTTGTCCAGATGTTCCAAAAACTGATTGACTTGAAAATGTCTTCCTCAAATCAAAAGATCTATAGTATCTGACAGGATCCGGCTTTCCTGTGTGTTGATGTGGTGGAGGGAGGCTGGGTGACATGTTGGGAAAGCCTTATGGAAAGGTTCTGAGAAGGGGGCTGCCCCCTGCTCTCACCACCTTGATGTGGGAAATTGACCTTTAATGATGGCTTCCTGGAGAGACTGACAGGGAATGATCCACCTTTTGGAGTTATGTTCTGCATACTGGCATTCTTGGGCAGCTTTACAGCTATGGTGTATATTTAAAATCTCTCCTAAAATGAAACATTAAACTATTTTTCTCATATATGTATTAATTCAGGGATGTGGATTTGCCAAGTCTGCAGACCAAAGAAAAAGGGAAGAAAACTACTTCATGAGAAAGCTGCACAAATAAAACGACGATATGCAAAACCCATTGGACGACCGAAAAATAAATTAAAGCAACGATTGTTGTAGGTTGAGATCTTATCAAAAAGAAATCTTTTATGTTGTGCTTTAAAACATAGGTGATTATAACCCCCTTAGGTCCCATTCACTTTTTACCATCATTTTTACAAACTCAAGGGATGGGGAATATTTGTCTCTTTATATAAGCTGTGGAAATTTTTTGAAGATAACAATTTTAATTGCAATTGGCATTTTGGGGTCTTCTGTTGGCAGTGTCTCTGATGCTAAGTGACATTTTTCAAGCAGCAGGATGGAAGCAGAATGTCAGGACTAGAAACAGTCAGCTTACTTGGTTACTGGCTAAGCATTACAAGAGCTTAATTATATCAATATTTATATGGGAATTTTAAAACAAAAGAGGGATTTGTCTTTAGTGAATCTCTTTTGTCTCTCCAGATAACATTTTGGAAAAGTACTTCTTTTTTCTGGTGCTAATTTAGTAGTACAATTTTTTTGAGATCACTTTTATGAAATATGATCATCTGAGAAACCTGCAAATGACTGTCCTCATGTTTGCCTCCAAAGAATTAGACAGGACTCTGGTATGTGCATATGTGTGCAGACATACAGTACATACAAAGTAACAATTTGCTGTGGCCTCCAGGTCTACTATGATAACCCCATTTCTACTGCCTTTGCCATGTAGTTGCATTACAGCCCAGTAGAACATTTAGCAGGAGTTACTTGGAGAAGCAGAGAAAAGATAAGAAGTGGAATGCATGTAGTTTTTAAAACCTGTATAGAGTAGGGTTCTGGTTATGTGTGCATTAAGTAAGGTGTTTAAAATGAAACCAGTAGACTTGCATATCTGAAGCCGTTATATCAATAAGACCATTGCCTGACTCTCGAAAGGGTCACTGTGATATAAAAATGAATTGGTGCTCTACACACCCCCTGAACAAATACCGTGTATCTTGCTTGTTTACTCTTTTCCCTTAATTTTATCTGAAGCAATTCACTATATTACCTGCTTTGAGAAAAACAGTTTCCTTCTGCACATTTATCCCTCAAAAGAGAAACAGAAAATGAGTGATCCTTTCCAGAGTTTTCTGTGAATCTTTATGAAAATCCTTTAATTGGTAGACATTTTTAAATGGAAATTTTGTTAATTTCTGGAGGCAAACATGAAACATATTTATGAATAAAATCTTTCATATTAGCGTCATTTGAAGTAGAAATTATATGTTTTTGCATTCATCCCGTGTAAGCATTGTTCTTGAAATGGGACTGTATCCTCAGGGCCCAATTAAAAAAACCAAATTAGGATATAAACTTTCTAAACAAAGGACACAGCTGAAAATTGCATCTGGCACCAATCCTAACTTTTTGTTTGTCCAAAATTGTCCTTTGAGCTTAGGAATTTTTAAGACAGTCTAGGGAGTTTTCCTTTGTACATGCTTTATAAGCATATTATCCTTTCTGGGCAATCGATTCCAGATACAGTCCAAATGCGCGTTCTAATGCGAAACATTTTAGCCTGGATAAGTTGTTTATTGGTAACCCTCACCGTGACACTAGAGATCTCCAGCGTTAACCTGATTTGGCTGAATAGGTGGCGCCAGGCAAAGGCTCGGGGTGGCTGAGCTGCCCCAGATAAGCCTAGTAGCTGCCCAGTTGATGTGCACCAGCCTCCCCTTCTGCTGATTGCTGAAATTGTTCATTAAATCTTTATGTACAAGATGATCCCCAAAATGTGCTCTTCTATTTGTAATTAAAATATTTTTGTAATTCTATATCATACCATTTTCAGGCTTCCATTTCTTCATTATTATCCTTCAGCTAAATTGATAATTTTTAAAGTGCATTCTTGGGCCCCAGCGCAGCCATAATTCACATGCAGATGTTTCCATTGTATAAAATTCTGCTGCAAAATGGGTAGCTTTCCAAGCCCTAGCCTGAGGTGAAGGCAGGCAGCTGCGCTCCCGCGAGCAGCTGTGCTGGAGAGTGACCTCCAGGCTCTGTTGACCACACAGCTGGATAGGCGGACCCTGCATCGAGTGGACTGCAGTCGCAGTCAGAGCCGGGTGCAGAGACTGCCGCCCGGTGTCTGATAATGACCATGGTAAATGTGCTGCTGCTTCACCAGACTTTTCATGTCATGTCTGACCCGCTGTAGCTTTTCTTTAACCATTTCTTCAGTTTTTTGCTATTGTTGTCTTTTTTCAGCAATATTTTATGCTGTAATTAATTGTCTCCTTTACTTAGAGAGTATTATTGGTTATCTTACCATCCTGAGCATAAAGGAAGAGGGTGTCTTTTAGGGTTTTCTTTACACACACACACACACACACACACACACACACACACACACCCTACTAATTTATAGACATAACCCAAATTCTATTTATATAAATTTTCCAGAGTTAAAATTGCTTCTAACTAGAGATTAGAGAAGCTTATTTTTTCACTTCTAGATAATACAACTTATTTCTTTTAATATTTTATAAAAGACATTTCAGGAAATCATAATTACTTGCGACAACACAAGGGGTAACATTTTTATTTAATTATAATGAAAGCATTGGGTATTCTTTCAGTCTCTCCAAAAATTTTCTTACTTATGTTGATTGCCTTTGGGTACACATGGATTCTTCCAGTACCTGTTGGATGGGCCCCGGAAGAATCGTCACATGCAGATGTAGTTGCCGCTGTTTCAGCAGAGAAACATCCAAGTGGAGGCACACACATAAAAACAGTTCTTAGGGTTGAAGTTCCGTTTCTTAAATTTAAGCACATTGAATGCATCTAGTTGCTATAAATTTGTTTTAGATACCTTTATAATTCTATTACTAAATGCTGATACTATTCTCTAAATTTTTGCCTAGGTCTGTAACCAGTGATGAAGGATCCATGAATGCATTCACAGGAAGGGGGTCACCTGGTAGGGGTCAAAAGACTAAAGTCTGTACCACACCTTCATCTGGTCATGCTGCATCTGGGAAGGACTCGAGCAGCAGATTGGCTGTTACAGACCCCACTCGGCCTGGTGCCACCACCAAAATCACCACCACCTCCACCTACATTTCTGCCTCTACACTTAAAGTTAACAAGAAAACCAAAGGGCTCATTGATGGCCTTACTAAGTTTTTTACACCATCACCTGATGGTCGCAGATCACGAGGTGAAATAATAGACTTTTCAAAGCACTATCGTCCAAGGAAAAAGGTCTCTCAGAAACAGTCATGCACTTCTCATGTGTTGGCTACAGGTACCACACAAAAGCTAAAACCTCCGCCCTCTTCACTTCCAGCCCCAGCCCCCATGTCTGGTCAGAGCCCCAGTTCACAAAGGTCCAGCACTTCCACTTCTTCTACCTCTCCCCAGAGCTCTTCCAGCCAGTCCAGTGTGCCCTCCCTGAGCAGTCTGACTAGTAACAGCCAGCTGAAGGCACTCTTTGACGGACTCTCTCATATCTATACCACTCAGGGACAGTCTCGAAAGAAGGGACACCCAAGTTATGCACCACCCCAACGTATGCGTCGTAAAACTGAATTCTCTTCCACAGCAAAGGCTAAAGCTCATTTCTTTGGAAAAAGAGAGATTAGAAGTAGGTTTATGTCTCACTCCTCCTCCTCTAGCTGGGGGATGGCTAGAGGACGGATTTTTAAAGCAATTGCTCACTTCAAGCGAACAACTTTCCTTAAAAAGCACAGGATGCTAGGCAGATTAAAATATAAAGTGACCCCTCAGATGGGGACCCCCTCACCAGGGAAGGGGAGCTTGACAGACGGAAGGATTAAACCTGATCAGGATGATGGTAAGCAAAAGGTCGAAGCTCCAACCAAACCTGCGTCCCGTCCCTTTCTCCCCAACCCCCCAAAAATCAATCGATCAATTCCTATTTGTCACATAGGTCTCAGCTATTTCTCTTGTTCTCACTTCACTCTCATACAGAAACAGTGAAACTTTGACCTTTTTCTAATGCTGACTAAACCTCCAAGATGTTGTTTTTCCAACTAATACTCTCCCACCTTTTATTATTTATTTTCATTCGTAGTGACACTAGGACCCCCAGATGCCTTCATAGCGCTGCTTATGGCTTTGTAGTCCCGCATGAGTAGCCACTGTCCCGCTTCTGCCCTGTCCTTTGCCGCGCGGCCCTCCGGCCCGGCGCTGCTGGGCCCGTGCTTGGCGCCAGCAGGGCTCGGCCCCTGCCCCCTCTGCTCCATCGCTTTCTCATGACCAAGTCCATCCTGCTTCCTTCTCAGAACCCGACCTGTGGTTCCGCGAGGCGTGCTTTGGGTGTGAGTGTGTCTGCGTGTGTACCCGCCTCAGGGAGAGAACTGATTGCAGAATTTCATTTAACAGAGTGGCCCGTTACATGTGCTGCCCTTTATAAAACAGAGACAAAAATGTGTCATTTGGACAAAGTGGTAGATTTTACTGTCTCAAAAGTGGTAATGGGAATTCTGTAACTAGTCTTCTAATCGTGGTTGAAAAATCTGATTTTGCTTTGTGTTGCTCTTACTTTCCCTCACGTATTGAAGCTATGAGAAGATGACAGTGATTATTCAGATAAAAATTGGGGTACAGCAGGGAAAGGGTACTGCTGGATCTTTGAGCGGTGCTTAGCTGTAAAAGCTTTTAAAGCTTTATAAAAAAATCCCTATTTGCCCACTATGCTAATTTGGTACCGTTTTGGTAATATATGGTGGTCACTTGCGATTCAAGTCAGTGAATACACTTTCTGCTGGTTTTAAATGACAGATACTGAAATCAAAATAAGCATCAAACAAGAAAGTACAGATATAAATGTGATTGGAAGCAAGGATACCGTCACTGAAGAGGACTTGGATGTGTTTAAGCAGGCCCAGGAACTTTCTTGGGAGGTAAGGCCAGGATACCACCGCATTATCGTAACAAGGGTAACAATATGTGGCTTTTTAAGTTATGATTATTATGAAGTTACTGCTTTGATTTTGTAGAGACTCCCCCTCAAAATCCTGTGTGGTTCTTTAACTATGACCATGGTCATTTTTGTTGACCGTCCATTCAAAAGCAGTGACTTTGTAGAGTTATCTCCTCTCTTAGAAGTTGGTAGCACTGAGGTGGTCTCACAAAATAGACCAGAGTAGCAGTGGTTGAGGCAGATTTTGAAAAACACCTTCCAATTATGAAGGAATAGAATTCTGATTTTTTGGGGGGGGCTTAAATTTAAGAAATAGCAATTTTTAATCATTAACAAAAAGAACATCACTTTTTAAAATTTATCAGTGCTGCTGCCAACACAGATGGCCAGCCATACAAAAAATGTCCCATAACTTTAACTCTTCGGCATTGATGAAGGCAATATTGTGTTGTATGATCAGTTGTAGTCACTTTTATTGTCCAGCAGTTTCTTTAAGTTATTCCACTTAAAATGTTAACTCTACTTAGCTTATTGTCACCAAAACATTGAAAGGTAAGGCTATTGGACTTCTCAAAGACAAATTTGTTATGGATTGTGTATTTTTTATGTCAATAGACCACATTCAGTGTGCACAATACTGACAGATAAGCTCCCTACCTCAACTTTTTTAGGGGGAGGAGGCAATCTGTAGGCTCTTAAACTTTATTTTCAGTAGCAGCCACTTGGGCTAAATAACTTTGATAGTTTCTACTTTGGGGGCTATTGGATATTTCCATTCCTCGTTCGGCCCCAGCAGTGTGCTTTGTATTGTTTTTCCTTTGGCTAAGAGAAATGTCAAAATTTCCTCCAATCTTAGAAATTTGAAGTTCTTAAATATTACCATTTTTTAGCCTACTCTGGCATTCATAGGTAAACAGGTTGAACAGTAGGCCATTATCTGAAAGACACTGTTAAGTCTAAAGCCCTTTCTTTCCAACATGCTGACACTGGCTTTTTCATTCAAGAGCATTGCTTGTTTGTGTCAGACACTGTGCTAGACACTGGGAATGCCACAGTGAGTCAGGCAGGCAGCACTCTTGACCTCCTGTGGCCTACTGCACAGGAGTGGGGGGAGTGGGAGGGGATAGGTATTAAGCTGCAGACTTCACAATTGATTATTTAATTACAGTTGGGATAAATATTACCCCATGGAGGAACAGAGGACTATAAGAGTCTGTATAATAGCCTCACCATCTTTTAATTTCCGCAGTTTCAATACACTGCAACATATCATTGAATTCAGTTCAGTAGAAACTTGTATTTACATCATACTCATCCTGTCTGGGTTGTACTGTTTTTTTAGAGTATTAGTTTGTTTATATGTAAATCTTACACAAAGTTATTATTTTACAAGGCCTATGATGTTTTCTCAACAACATGAAAATTCGCAATTAAGATTAGGGTTCTAGTCTTGATAGGTTTTATATCCACTGTGAAAGAACCAAAATGTAAGTGAAGAAATCCTCTTCTAATACTTCTGTTTTACTTCTTTTTTTTTCTTTCTCTCTGACAGAAAATAGAGTGTGAGAGTGGAGTGGAAGACTGTGGCCGGTACCCCTCTGTAATAGAATTTGGGAAATACGAAATCCAGACCTGGTACTCCTCGCCTTACCCACAGGAATATGCAAGGTAATGGAGTAGGCCTGCGGGTATATGACTTTAACGTCATACATGTGAGGAAGGAAAACCTCAAGTTCTAGAGCAGAAATTTATTATTTTCAGGACTTAAGTTTTGATAGTAGATTTTAAGTGCTTCTAAAACTATTACTTTAGCCGGTATCTTTTTATAGTATTTACTGTTCTATGTAAGCTCCTAACACTCCTTAGTTACGCAGGCATTGTAAATTTTGCCTTTTAGCTTGTAGTGGTTTTTCTCTTTGGATAATTGGGTAAATGCTATTTGTATATGAAACCAAATAGGAAAAAAAATTGCCATTGTAAAATATTTGGTAGTTTCTTCTCAGTTGCCTTTTTTCTAGTTAGTTTAGGAAATTAATTAGTTAGTCTCATCTCTGATTTCTGGCATTTTATTTTCAAGGTTTTTCCTGAAATGTAGCAAAAGAATGAATGTAGGTCAGAGAGAGTAGCCTTAAGAGACCCTTTCCCAAATATTTACCTTAAAGCCATCTGCAACTAGCTTGTTAAAACTGAAAAGAAAATAATGGTACTAGAGGTTTCATTTGTCTTGAACTAAGATTAACTGTGAGATTGTCTTGAACTAATACATTTTAAAATGGGTATCTTGTGAGCAGATTTCTTCCTTCAAGTACATCGGGTACACTTTATCAGGGTCTTCTTAAATTTTTTATCCTGCAAAATTTCTGGGAATCACACACTTAATTACTTTTTGTCTACAATAAACATTGTTCTTTTTTCTGTCATGTGGATGTCTGGCCAATCATCTAACTGGAGAGAATGGGGAGGGTGTTCTAGAATTAAGTGGCAAACTGTCAGGAGTCTTGGTTTATTATAACGCCAGGTTATTTCACTTGGCTCTGTGTTCTTGAACAGTTTTTTAAAAATACCAGTGAGCTTTAATTTGTATGGGTCATCATAAGTCATGAGTTCTGAGAGCTTTGAATAAAATTTGCATGTAAGTCCAAGATTTGAAATTACTATTATCTGAGTCTATATCTAACTCTCCTCAAAATATTTCACCCCATTTATTTTTTATTGTTGACAGTATTACAGATGTTCCCCATTCCCCTCCGCATTTTGCCCCCACCACCCAGCCCCTGCTCCACCCCAGTCTTCCCGTTATACCTCCAAGACCTTGGAAGTTTCTAAACATTTTTCGTGTAAATACTGGCAATGTCCATTTAAGTGTGATAGGGTGCAAGTAAAATATGTTATAATATTTAAGTTGGAGAAAAAGCCAGCCAGAGGGAGAAAGCCATTTGTCTAATGTTACTCCAAAGAGTCAGTGGAATTGGTAGAAACAAACAAGATCTCTTGACTTGCTTCCATGCACTGCTTTAGACCATCCAACTTTGAAGTTATCTCATCCCTAAGTTAGTGGAACGACTCTTCAGCCTTATAAGTGCGCAAATTATTTCTAAAAATAATGCATTCACTTCTTTCTGAGTAAAACATTATTATAGTTACGCCACTGACCACATATACTGTTGAAACTGTGACATTAAATCTGAGATTTGAAAAATACACACGGTGGTTACCTGACAGGATGCTCTCCTTGTTGATTTTTAGAGTAGTGGTTCCAGTTCCAAAAGCGTTTCCTTCTTTAGGACATTTCTAAGAAAACAAATGATTTGTTCACAAAGTTAAGGCAAAAAATATTCTGTTGAAAAATAATGTAAGGTTGGTACGTTCTCTTTACTACTGGCTTTTTTGTGTGAAACTGCTTTTTTAGAATGCTGTTATACAGCCTTTCTATGACTTAGAGAAAATTGAACAGTATTTAGTACTTTCCCCCTAAACAGTATAATCAGTCTGAAAGATTCTTGGATTTTAAAATTTTCACAGATTACCAAAGCTTTACCTGTGTGAATTCTGTCTTAAATATATGAAAAGTAAAAACATCTTGTTAAGACACTCCAAGAAATGTGGCTGGTTTCACCCTCCAGCAGATGAAATTTACCGAAGGAAAGACCTTTCAGTATTTGAGGTAAGCATGTGTAAATAAAAACTCAGCTTTTGAAACTTAGTATTTCCAGTTGTTGACTATGTACTGAATTGTTTATAGATGGTACAGAGTATATTCAATTTTGGCGTTGAAATTCAGACTGCTCTTTACAATGTCTCCATGTTTGGAATGTTTGTCTAACCATATTAAGCGACCATTTCGATTGATAATGAATTCCTACTTCATCATGTTAACTTTTTTGTCTTCCCCCAAGTCCCTGTCTGCACCAGATATGTTCACCAGTGAATTTATGATCTCCTCAGCTCTTTGTAAATTCTCCTTTCTTTGGCAGGAGAAATTAGCTTTGTTCAGCAGCTCCAGCCAGTGTCTGGCAGGTGCTCACTCTTCCAGGGAATTGAGCAGCTGTACATATCTCCTCAATGCACAGCCACCTGTGTTTCCATCCATTTCTTGGCAGAGTTGATAATCCTTTTGGTGAGCCCCCAGCAGATGTTGGGACTCCCCCCGATCTGGGAGGATGGCCACCCTGGAGAACTCTGCTGTTCACAGGAACCCCTTGTGGCTGTGTGTCTTTCACTGTGGGTTCTTGAAGACATTTTGTATTTTCAGAATTGATTTAGTAGCAAAAGGTCTTTGCCTGTATGTCATTTCATTGTTTATTCATGTTCTACTGTCAGTTTCGGGGATCCAGCTTAGCTGAGTCAGTTGTACCTTGAGGAGACCATGTCTTTCTTTCATGTTATTGCCTCTTTCATGTTATTTATTCTCTTGCCTCTAGTGGGGCACTTCCATTGCGCTGCCTTATGTTCTCTGTTACCCACCTTGGTGCATTGTTCTTCGTTCGTGAGTGCTCAGTAGATGTGATACTTTCTCTCTGAAATACTGTTTTACTTAGGATTCTTTTTTTCTGAATTGTTCAGACTGAAACGTATTGTTCTGGCCCACATTTCTCTTTAGTCTTGGTCTATAATGTCTTGCATTACATTTAATATAGGGAGGGTCTTGGGTTTCTGTCATGGATCAGGCTTCCCCTCTCAGACAAGCTTGGGCCCTTTACTTTTTCCCAAGACTGATCAGAGAACACAGGGAACTCCAGCTGTGTCTTATGAATTTTTAAAGCCCCTCTTCCAGAGTATATCACGCTCTTGGCAAGCTCAAAGGAAGAAGGATAGTGTTGCTGGGAAGATTGGATGTTAGTTCTTACTAAAGGGTAGGCACAGGGTTTCTCTACCTGGGCACTGTTCACATTTCAAGCAGGATATTCTTTGTCGCAAGGGGCTGTCCTGTGCATAATAGGATGTTTAGCAGCATCCCTGGCCTCTACCAACTAAATACCACTAAGACCACCACCCCTCCAGTTGTAACAACCAAAAATGTCTCCAGCTATAACCCCAGTCCTCTGGGGGGCAAAATCACACTCCGTGAGGACAGCTGGATAAGAGGAAAAGCCAAAGGCAAGTTACTTACCTTTCTTGTTAGTCTTGGGATGCTACCCGGCAGAGCTGTTCTCAGTTGAAGCTTAACTACTGTCACAAGTTCAACTTGCCTGTTGGCTCTTTACTTGGTACCTTGGATCCTTTCTTTTAACCAAAATAAAATGAAATGACTATCTCATTGTTTCCGGAGGACAGAACACATTGTTGGCTTTTAAGTAATAAATAAATCAGCCTGAATCTGCCTGTGTGGCTGAAGCTTCCATAAATCCAGGGGGTTTTCTTAAGGGTATGGGAACCGGTCTTGTTAGGCTGGTAAGAATGGTCTGCTATTTCAGGGCAGGTGCTTTTGGACTGTACAGAGGTGAGACGCAGAAAAGTCAAGCAGATTTGTGAAATTTATTCATAAAAATAATTGAAGAAATTGGATTGGATAAGGACTGGGTCCCTATTCTAGAATCTAAGTTAATACTTGGAGTACAGCATGTAGGAATTTCTCTTAGCAGTTTCTGAGTATCTTATAAAATAAAGAATAATCAGATTACTACTTTCCTGTCTTCTCTATCACTCTTGAAAGCGGGCATGTTAGGCCTTCCACACCTGGTAAGGTTGCTTTGGCATTGCCATCTCTGTTTCTCTGGTTCACAGATACATCTCTGTCTGTCCTTTTTGTACTGTACTACCATTTCCAAAAGGACTGTACTCCCAAGTACATAAAAACTTTCTTTAATTAAAGAGAGAATTGTAGCCTCTCTGCCCGTTGCCCATATTTGATTATGTTGCTATGTGTGGGACCTAGGTTTCATCCAAGGGAAATAGTTATATGAAGTCTAAAAATAATTTGTGCAATATGAGAACCTGTATGGTCCACAGGAGACTCAAGAACAGTCAAGTTCATTGTTAAAGAGCTCTGGTTAGCAAATATCCATTTCCCCTAAGAAAAGTGCTGGGGAAATTCTTCTTGAATCTGCTGTGATTTCTGTTTTCAACAAGTAACTACATTTGATCAAAGAAATTGGCATCTGTGCTTAGCCTCCTGTCTATAGCCATCAGTATCACAGCTTGATTCTTTTATTTTGAAGGGAAGTAGACTGTAATCATGGTACTTATGTAGGTTGAAATTCATCTCACTCTCTCTGTAAGTATTCCCAACATAGGAATTTTATCTTTTCCAATTATATTTAAAATGGTGCTTGGGGTAAAACCAAAATGGGAGCCTCGTTTGCCGATCTTCCCTCTGAAGAGTCAGAGTAATACAGTTCGTTTATTTTATTTGTATGTGAAGCCCTTTTGTAAACAACGTGAAGTTTAACTTACTTGAGCAGTAGTTTGACCTGTTTACATTCTGTCAGTTCAGGTTTACTTGGTGGAAGCAGAGAGGACATGCCTGATCATTTTTTACTTGTAATAAATTGCAAATAAAAATTACTTCTTTGTTAGTGGCATGGCCTTTCTTCAGGTAGCTTAAAGGGAAATTTAAGCTATCTTAAATTTACTCTAATTTAAGAGAAAAAGTGGAAATCTGATTGGCTAAGTGACTCCTATTTTCTGTTTAACTTTATACTTGTTTAATGGAGTGCTTTAATCTCTCAGTTTGGGATTTGGAAATAAAACTATATACTTTGCAAATACCATATATAAGAAACAATTTTATGTTGAGTGGTGTTTTTATGTTAGATGACGTTGTCTGCTTCTCTTTGCTAGGTTGATGGGAACATGAGCAAAATTTATTGCCAAAACCTCTGCCTGTTGGCCAAACTCTTCCTGGACCACAAAACGTTGTACTACGATGTCGAGCCGTTCCTCTTTTATGTCCTCACAAAAAACGATGAAAAGGGCTGCCACCTGGTTGGATACTTTTCTAAGGTAAAACAAGAGCCAGCAGGACCCTCATTTCTTTTTCAGAATGTTTTTGCTAGAGCCCAGTTCTTTGAACAGGGCTTTTTCTGTCACTATAATTTGAATAAGTGACACATGTTTCTGCAAAGCTCAGGTTCTCGTTCAGAGCTCATTTAAAAAAAAAAAGCAATAAACATAGCTCCTAGGACACGCGTGAAGGACCTCGGCCCTGCCTGCTGTCTTGGTTGTCAGCATCCATGTGACGTCATAATTGCTGCCTGCAGACCACCTAGCACCTTTGATTTTCTGAATGTTAAAGCTTATTTTCTTTCCTTCTGAGTGTTGTCAGCATGAAGGTTTCATTGTAATTAATGTAGCATTTAAGAGATAATTCTCATTTCTCCTCATTTCGTTCCCTTGGTGGTCATCAGTGTCTCAGTGAGTCGGAACATTGGTATTTGGACAATCAAGCCGATGAAATGACTGGTGTTGCTCTTTCATCCCTTATTCTCTGTGCTATTGTTCTAAGATCTAAAGCGGTCTCGCCTTTAGAAAGCCCAAGTATCTCCAGTTGTTAACATAGGGAAGCCCTTGCTGTATTGAGTGGATGTCCTTTGTCTTTCTCACTGGTTCAGAACGATTTTCTCACATTCTTCTGCTCAAAGGCTTCTGAGAAACAACTCACATGCAGTAAAGGAAAACTGAGTTGGGAGCTATTTACCAGGTAATGATCTTAACTATTCTTAGGCACCTAGGAAACAGTTTAATGTGCCAGGATGGTAATTAAGAGACTTCCAGGCAGAAGGTAAATGATGCAAACCTTGTGTTTTATTTTTTTATGGTATATATTTTTTCATATTAGGTGATAAGTGAATTTTAATGACTCTACTGTTATGTAATGTAAATGGAATGCTTTATAGAAATGTCATTTTCGTGGAAGATCAAAAGATAGAATATATATGAAGATCCTTTACAAACTGTAGTTTTTCTAAAATTAAGAATCAACCCAGCCCGGCCGGGCGTGGCTCAGTGGTTGAGCGTTGACCTAGGATCCAGGTGATCAGGGCTCGATGCCCGGGTTGCGGGCTTGATCCCCAGTCGGGGGCGTGCAGGAGGCAGCCCATCAATGACTCTCTCATCATTGATGTTTCTCTCTTTCTCCCTCTCTTTTTCTCTCTCTGAAATCAATAAAGATATATTTTTTTAAAAAATCAACCCAAAGACCATAAACAAAAATACAAGTCAGTGACAGCACTCATGGGACACTGCCTCGATGTGTTAATCCACATATTTGGTAACGCTCTAAACTGAAAGAGAAGAAAGTTAATTTGTACATTACAGATTCAAAAGATGACGGAGAATCAACACAGAACTTTAAATAGAAAATCTACTTATATAATTTATAAAACATCTTACCTTTTCCATAGGTATTGAAAGATCTTCCTCTCTGAAAAGTTAAAAAGAATAGTAGTGATGACTGTCCTTCCTATAGAACATGGTGTTCTTTAGATATATATGAGGTTAAACATAGATGCTTAATGGTGCCTGCTGTCGCTGTCCTGCCTTGACTCGGACTGGTGTCTGGATCTACAGTTGATGGTGACTCTCGTCATTTGAGTCTCTGCCTCTTCCTCCTAGGGGGCCCATGTTTTACCCAGAACAAACTAAAATGAGAACTAAACTTTTCTCATTTTGTCACAGTTTCTTTTATAGTATAGCAGCAACTACTGTCATTTCTTAACATACTCAGAATACTGGTATTCTTCAGCAGCGTAGTGAAACAAAAATTCATCTAAAAAATAACCATGTTAAAAGACTAGATACGAATCAAACCATATTCTGATGTATCAATTGGAATGTGAAGGACTGTGGCCCTTTGGAGTTATACTTAAACCAAATTCTAGAGGTCATAGCAAGAGAATGGCCAAGATGACCTAGAAAAATTCAGCCTATATTATGACATGCATATGATTTTCAAAGCACACAGTAG